GTGTGGGGAGGAGGGGGGGGGGGGGGGGGGACCCATAATTTTCAGTGGGGGGAGGAGGGGAATCAGGAGATGGTCTCTCCCGTACGCGTCTCTTTCGCTGTCTGCTGGAGATAGCAGTCGTTAGAGCGAGTATGGAGGACAAGGATGGACATGGTGGGTGGGGGGGCTACTGGGAGTAACTACAAAACTTTCTATCCACATATACAAACCCACGATGACTTAAAGCCCAAATAAAAGTATTTCCTGTAAAGAATATGGTCATTTTTTTTACCTCTCCTTCCACCGACACCATCGAACATCTGATGAAGACCAAATGGCGGATGAAGACGTCTTCAGAGATTGACTCCTCCCAAAGTGTCCATCTCCTGGTTCCCCCATTGTGCACACACCAACCTCCATGTCACTACCGTGTCCTGTACTGTGTCCCTTCACAATTTCCTGTTCCGTGTCCTTGGTACGTGTCCTGTAGTGAGGTGGAGATCAGCGGGGGGGGGGACCCACAGTTTTCAGTGGGGGGAGGAGGGGAATCAGGAGATGGTCTCTCCCGGACGTGTCTCTCTCCTGAAGAAGACTTCATCCTACGTCGGAGCTCCGTTCAGAGAATGAAGGACTTCCCGTTACGGGGAAAGCTTTGATTTGGGTTTGACGTTCGGTGACCATGTGACCCTCTTACAGTTTAATTTACCATTACTTTCCTTTTTTACCCGTCTTATCAGTTCAAGAAGTGAAATCACCCGAAATCTGAGGAACAATTCCGAGCCAGATAAACATTCTCGGGTGTTAAACAGAATATTTATTTGTCTGTGTCCATCAGACCGAAAAGAGGGACAAAGAGGACGGTGATGGGGCTACGATCATATAACATCTCATTACCTCCTCTCCTGCCAGATCCAGGAATGTCTCCTCTCCACTTCCTCCCAACTCATCCAGCACTTCCTGTTTATGGGTGACATCACTTCCTGTCGGTTTTCCATAGAGACTTCCTGTCTGGGTCTAGGTGGGATCACCACCTTGTGGAGCTCAGAAGAACTGCAGCCCCGAGAAACCTCTCGTAGTGTGAACTCAGCCTTGTGCTGTGCGTGTATGTTCTGTATATCCTTATAGATGGGTCATGTCCGCTCCCACTACGGGGTGTAGGGGGTATAAATATATTATTATGGGTAGCCTTGCGGGGCCTGTTGATTTTGCCGAACACTTGTACTTATTTTCTAACTTGCCCTGTAGAGATACTTAGACGTAAGTTGATAGAAAACTACCATAATGAAAACCTTCTCGGGTTGGTTTGTAGACATGCGCACTGCCAAAAAATTTGTTTTGTTTTGTTTTAAATTGGGATTTGTGTTATTTCGTTTTTCAGGATTCGGGTGTGAAAGTCAATTCGGATTCGGACGAAATTCGGTAGCGTTAGTACGAACGTTCGTTTGCAGCAAAAGTGACATTTGAGGGGGGAAAAATATTTTTCTCCTCTAATGTCACTTTGCTCCAACGAACGAAACGAATAAGAACAGAAAACGAAACGAACGTTTGTGCGAACGCTACCGAATTTCGGAAATGGAAATTGGGATTCGTTTGCATTCGTTATGTCTGTAATTCGTAATTCGGATACATCCGAATTTCCGAAAATTCGTCCGAATTTCGATTCGGAACGAAACGAATCGCACATGTCTATTGGTTTGAGAGCCCTGTGACCACCTCCCGCCAAGCCGTTCCTAGTATGTGTAGTGCTCACCCCCAAAGGAGTCGCTGGTTGGCCGGTTCATCTCTAGTCTGTCTAGGGGGATGTTCTTCTGGTACCAACAGACTGAGGTCCACTCCAGTAGTATAATGCTGAATAACAGTTTATTGAACATCTTCACTGGGGAGAGAGGGTATGTGGGGGGGGGGGGGTCCTAAGCTTCCAGGGGTGACCAACAAGAGCTGCAGACTCACCAGACCTAGTTGGCATATCAGCGTAGATCCACTTGGGAGGCAGCGGATGGCAACTGATGTAGCAGCTAAGCAGGATGGATACAGATCCTCAAGCAGGAAGGACACCGACCATGCTCCTGATGTCCGCTTAGTTCCAGGTTACTTTAAGAGTCCTGGGTCTCTTCCTCTAACAGCATCACAGGCCTTCTCCATGTTGGAGGCCTCAGGGAAACCTTTCCCTCACACCAGCCCATGCCCAACCCCAGGCCTGAGGCCTAGCTTGGTGGGCAGGCTGAACAGCACCCAGCCCTATTCCATGGCTGGTCCCAGCTAGTCTGAGAACATGGCAGATCCCACCAGTATATGTTCCCTATCCCAGCATGCACCACTGGCTGAGAGAAACTCAGTGATTGGCTGCTGTACTGTGCATACACTACAGTGCCTCTCATTGGCTGTCCCACAATGTGACAGAGTCACACTCCGCCCAGGGGGGTACAGTCAATGCCAGACACCTGGAATTAACCAGATAACTGCCACTATAATCCAGCCAGGCCGACTACGGCCCCGGCAATCAATAAATGTCTAGTAGCCACATCACAGGAGGTCATGGGGGCTACATAAGCAATCAGTGATTGTCCACCCCCCCCCTCGTCCTTTACAGAAGACTAGGTGGAAGCCTTGCAAATCTGAGAAACAGTAACCTGATCTAGTAGAGCGTGCCTTGACGGGAAAGGTTGGCACCCAGTCCTGAAGACCCATCGTCTTCAGGATTGGGTGCCAACCTTTCCTGTAAAGGAAAAGCTTGAATGATGGCTCGTCTGCACCACTGAGAAATGGCGGAAGAGAAGAAGCTGGGTCGCCTTTGTGAGTACCATCAGGAATAATGAAGACTCTGGGGAAAAACTCTCGCAGCCCAAACTACGTCCAGCCAATGGAGGGAGACCAGAACTGGAGCTGGACAGAGGAACGGAAGAACAGTGTCTTGGTTGAGGTAGAAGGCCGAAACCTTCTTAAGAAGAAGAGTTGGTCGGGAGGACAATGGGAAGAATGGAGCAGGAAGGAGTCGGACATAACAAGATGGTGAAACGAGAGAAGCTGAAGGCAGTTTATGGGAATTTATAAACGAGATCCAACATTACAAATAAGTATAGAAATAATGACGTAACTCTACACAAAAAATCCAGAAACATGGCCAATGGGCGGAGCTCAATGTTTACGGTGCTGGAGAATTGAGTTTCCTTATAAAAGATCAGAGGAGAGCTCGGCCACGTATTTTCTGAGCTGTATATCAACGTGTGCTTCTTCCCAATGTTAACGGCACATAAGGAAGACATTTCCCACACACACGAGTCTAACACACTTGGAGGGGTGTGTGGGTTCTGTGATGTTTAATGCGATTGGACTTCTGTTAAAAAAAACCAATTCCAATACAACGCATTTAACGGGAGTGGCACATCTGATGTATGTTAAGATAGGACTTCTGAGAAAAACATTTCCCACACTTAGGACAAGAATACGGCTTCTCCCCCGTGTGACATCTCTGATGTTTGGTAAGAGTGGACTTATCTGAAAAGCGTTTCCCACACTCAGGGCAGGGATACGGCTTCTCACCTGTGTGGGACCTCTGGTGTATTACAAGTACTGATTTGGTTGGAAAACATTTGGGGCACTCAGGGCAGGCATAGGGCTTCTCGCCCGTGTGCAGTCTCTGATGTCTGGAAAGATTGGCCTTCTGTGAAAATAATTTCCCGCACTCAGGGCAGGGATATGGGCTCTCGCCCGTGTGAGATCTTTGATGTATAACGAGTTCCGATTTCTGTGGAAAACATTTACTGCACTCAGGGCAGGAAAACGGCTTCTCACCAGAGTGTGATCTCTGATGTCTGTAAAGCATGGACTTATCTGAATAGCATTTCCCACACTCGGGACAGGAATACGGCTTCTCCCCCGTGTGAGATCTGTAATGTATCTCCAGTTTGGATTTATTAAAGAAACATTTCGCACACTCAGAACAGGAATACGGCTTCTCGCCTCTGTGCAGTCTCTGATGTCTGGAAAGATAGGAATTCTGTGAGAAACATTTCCCGCACTGAGGACAGGAATATGGCTTCTCCCCCGTGTGAGATCTTTGATGTCTGACCAGTTCTGATTTATGAAGAAAACATTTCCCACATTCAGGGCAAGAATAAAGCTTCTCAGCCGTGTGGGATCTCTGATGTTGCGTAAGACTTAATTCAGAGCTAAAACTTTTCCCACACTCAGGACAGGAAAATGTCTCCTCCCCCTGAATTCCGGCCCCATCCCCCACAGGACGAGGTCGCTCAGAGTCAGAGGGATTCCATGGTCTATCCACACTGTGACGTCCACCATCCATAGCTGAGCTCATTGTCTCTTCTCCCGCACAATCTGCTGTGATGTCCTCATCTTCCATTTTACAACCTGGAGATAAGGTCAGACGATCCTTTGAGGGTTCCTCCATGGCGTGTCCTGGAAACATAGAGACACATGATGGAGAGATATGAGAGGGTTAGATGACTTCACTCAACATTCCATCTGGATCAGGAGGTCTGAGGGAGCAGATGTTCTATGAGGAGGTCCCAACCAGCTGGGACTCCTCCCTTCTTCTGTCAGAGGGCCTTTGGTCCTCCTCCCAGATCACTTCTACATTGACACAGCCTTGTCAGAAGAGGAGGAGCCAATGGGGACTGGGAGGAGCATGCTCTTCACCCAACCACAAGTCTAGGTACTGGGTCATGTGACCTCTGGGTCATGTGACCTCTGGGTCATGTGACCTCTGGGCCATGTGACCTCTGAGCTTCTGATACAAGAAGATCAGAGTATAGACTGGCAGTCCCTCCCCCGGATAACAGAAGAATATATTATGGGTCACCTGTGCTGATCTCTGTAGGCGTGTCCTCCTCTATGGACGTCCTCATCATCCCGGCCTCCTCCGTATATCGCTGATCATCCCTCACATACGTCTCTTCTACTTCACCCTCAACTTTCATCTTCATCAGATCTTCACCCTAAACCAACAGAACGGCAGAAAGTCTCATCTGTGACATAGAAGTATTTATGATGTGACATCACATAGAAGATCTCATCTTGTAGAGTCCACACGTCATCTCCACATGTCAGAGCGTTCCATCACTTTATGTTCCCGCCCCTCAACTCCACCCACCTGATCATGGTGGGGGATGGTGAGATCTTCCTGGGTGGAGTCCCGGGAATACAGAGGACGGGGACATCTCTCTGGTGGGTTCCTCTTACTAGGTGCCTCCATCAAAATGTCCTCATGTCCTTTTAGAATTTCTGACTCCTCCTCCTCCTCCTCTTTTATCTCTTCTTTAACAATGACTTTAAAATCACTCAGGATTCCACTCTAAACATAAAAAGTTGCACTAATGTAAACAATGTACAGATCCTAATGGTACGATTACTAAATGTTTATCATCTACCTGATCATGGTGGGGGATGGTGAGATCTTCCTGGGTGGGGTCCCGGGAATACAGGGGGCGGGGACATCTCTCTGGTGGGTTCCTCTTACTGGATCCATCTGTAGGAAACACACACACTGACTGAATACATTGTTTCTATGTGTGTATCAGATGATGGGGGATGTAGGCGGAGCCTCCGTACTGCTCTCTCCTCTTACCCGGTGATGTGAGGGGCGGGGCATTCTCCATCACCACGTCCTTGTAGAGATCCCGGTGTCCTCCTAAGTTCTCTTTCACAGAAACCCCTTGTCTGTTCCTGGATAATGTCCCAGAATTCCCGGCACCGCTCACCTCCCTTGCCAGCAGCTCCATCATCTTCTTAGTGACTTCTAGAACCTTCTCCATGTTGGGTTTCTCAGGTTTTAGGGAGTCACATGGGGGCACTGTGATGGTCACACGGTCACCAGACTTCAGAAGAGGAAAACTCTGGATTGAGAAACCAATAGGAACATCATGTTAGAGATAAGAGTGATGTTATGTGACCTCCCAGAATCCTCCTCACCTCTCTGGTCAGGTGACCTCCCAGAATCCTCCTCACCTCTCCGGTCAGCAGGTAGATGATCTCCAGGGTGAGGTTTAGTATCCTCTCGGTCATGTGACTCCGGTTCTCCTTCATCGTTCGTCATGTGATCTTTGGAGGTTTCTCTGTTAATGGATAATAGAGTATTATATGGACTGTACTGGGTGTATAATATCAGGATGGGGGGGAGGGGATAATATGAGGGTCTCTATAATTGAAGAACGGCCCCCGTTGGGAGTACACACAGAGGAACATTCAGTTTAGTGTCTCCTATGTTTTTGGGGTTCAAGAGCCTTTTACCTGCCGGATCAAAATGTTAATTTTCATGTAAAGCTGGTTTTGTGCCGTTTATTTTGCTTAGTTTTGGATCTCCCAGCAAAGAAATCTGAATAAGATTTGCTTTATGTGTAAATAACACCCCACCCCCGCACCCAATCAATGAGCCTTCCCACGTCCATCAATGAGCCTTCCCTCCCCACGTCCATCAATGAGCCTTCCCTCCCCACCTCCATCAATGAGCCTTCCCTCCCCACCTCCATCAATGAGCCTTCCCTCCCCCACCTCCATCAATGAGCCTTCCTTCCCCCCGTCCATCAATGAGCCTTCCCTACCCCTGTCCATCAATGAGCCTTCCCTCCCCCCGACCATCAATGAGCCTTCCCTCCCCACGTCCATCAATGAGCCTTGGCTGCCCATGACCCTATCACCGGTTTTCCTTCCTTGGGCCACTTTGGGTAGGCTCTGAGTTGGAGTTGCTCTGACCCAGTTGACTAGACATCACAATTTGGTCCTCATCAAAGTCCCTCAAATCCTCACACTTGTCCATTATTTCTGCTCACAACACATCAACTTCTGGGACAAAAGGTTCACTTGGCACCGAATATATCCCCCCCCCCCTACTTCCAGGTGCCATTGTAACCAGATAATCAATGTTATGCACTTCACCTCTCAGTGGTCACAGTGTTATGGCTGATCGGTGTGTCTGTACCAGCATCTTCTGAAGATAGCAGTCGTTACAGCGAGTATGGAGGACGAGGATGGACATGACGGGGGGGAGGATACTGGGTGTAAGTATAAAACTTTCTATCCAACTTACTGAGATGGATATTACAGACATATATAAACCACAAAGCCCAAATAAAAGTATTTCCTGTAAAGAATGTGGTAATTTTTTTACCACTCCTTCCACCGGCACCATCGAACATCTGATGAGGACCAAATGCCGGATGAAGACGTCTTCAGAGATTGACTCCTCCCAAAGTGTCCATCTCCTGGTTCCCCCATTGTGCTTTTACACACCAACCTCCATGTCACTACCGTGTCCTGTAGTGAGGTGGAGATCAGCGGGGGGGACCCACAATTTTCAGTGGGGGGAGGAGGGAAATCAGGAGATGGTCTCTCCCGGACGTGTCTCTCTCCTGAAGAAGACTTCCTCCTACATCGGAGCTCCGTTCAGAGAATGAAGGATTCACCTTTACCGGGAAAACATGGATTTGGGTTTGACGTTCGGTGACCATGTGACCCTCTTATGGTTTATTTCACCGTCACGTTCCTTTTATACCCGTCTCATCAGTTCAAGAAGTGAAATCACCCGAAATCTGAGGAACAATTCAGAGCCATAGAAACAATTTGGGCCGTTACGTAGAATATTTAGTAGTCTTTGTACCTCAGAACAAGAAGAGGGACATTTGAGGGGCAAAGAGGACAGCGATGGGGTTATAATCATATATAATCTCCTTACCTCGTCTGCTGCCAGTTCCAGCAATGTCTGCTCTCTACTTCCTTCCGCATGGAACTTCCTGTCTGTTCCCTGACATCACTTCCTGCCTGTCATAGAGACTTCCTGTCTGGGTATAGGTGAGATCACCACCTTGTGGAGCTCAGAGGAACTGCAGCCCCCGAGAAAACCTCTCGTAGTTCGAACACGGCCTTGTGCTCTGTGTTTGTTATTCCCGTATATCCTCCCAGATCCTTCCACTCCCACCGAGAGCGCTCCAGCCTCTAATATATATATTGTCCACTTCGGTCTAACACCAATTCACATATACACTGTATTGCCAAAAGTATTGGGACGCCTTTACACGCACATGAACTTTAATGGCATCCTAGTCTTAGTCCGTAGGGTTCAGTATTGGGTTGGCTCCGCCTCTTTGCCGCTATAACAGCTCCGCCTCTTCTGGGAAGGTCTATGGGAACCATTTCTGAGGTCAGGTACTGATGTTGGGGGAGGGGCTCACAGTCTCCGCTCTGAATCATCCCAAAAGGTGTTCTATGGGGTTGGGGTCAGGACTCTGTGCGGCCAGTCACGTTCCCCCCTCCCCCATCTGTGTCTTTATGGACCTTGCTTTGTGCACTGGTGCGCAGTCATGTTGGAACAGGAAGGGGCCGTCCCCAAACTCCTCCCACAAAGTTGGGAGCATGAAATTGCCCAAAATGTCTTGGTGTGCTGATGCCTTAAGAGTTACTAAGGGGCGGAGCCCAACCCCCAACCCCCCCTCCCCTCCACCATAATCCCACCTCCCCCAAACTTTACACTTGGCACAATGCAGTCAGGCAAGTACCGTTCCCCTGGCAACCGCCAAACCCAGACACGCCCATCGGATTGCCAGACAGAGAAGCGTGATTGGTCCCTCCAGAGAACACGCCTCCTCTTCTCTAGAGTCCAGTGGCGGCGCGCTTTACACCGCGGCATCCCACGCTTTGCATTGCACTCGGTGATGTGCGGCTTGGATGCGGCTGCTCGGCCATGGAAACCCATTCCATGGCGCTCTCTACGCTCTGTTGTTGCGCCAATCTGACGGCCGCATGGAGCTTGGAGGTCTGTAGCTATTGACTCTGCAGACAGTTGGCGACTTCTGCGCACCGTGCGCTTCAGCATGCGCTGACCCCGCCCTGTCATGTGACGTGGCCGACCACTTCCTGGCTGAGTTGCTGTTGTTCCCGGTTGCTTCCACTTTGTTATAATCCCAGTAACATGTGACCGCGGCGGAATATTTAGAAGCCAGGAAATGTCAATACTTTTGGCAATGTAGTGTTTATCTTCATTGTGTGACATTAAATTCGGTGTATGATGTAAAGTCCAGAAACAATCCGTGATGTCTTCTTCATTCTACAATAGATATGAGATTGCTCCTCACCTGTGATCGTGCTCCTCCGATCAGAACGGCTCTCGCCCTCTGTAGTACGTCCACATTCCAGAAAGGTACCTCCGCCCTATGGGTCCCTCTTCTGGTTATCATTTATAAGGATGTTCCCTTTCGCTCTGGTGGTCTAAGGACTGCTGATGTCATCAAGTACAATGCCGGCTCCTTAGACCTGACAACTCCAAGGAACAATTCAGTGCGGAGGGAGATAAGAGTACAGAGCTGACTTCCAGGAAACTTAAGGATCAGGTAAGTCCTTCGTGAGGATCTACTGTCAGGTCCTGGACATGGCATGTGCTGGAGGTCCTGGATACTGAGCTACTGCTGGAGAAGACACCCGATGGATGTTGGAGAAAGGGTTTCAGAGGAGCTGGGTAGAAGGTGCGCTGGAGCTCCTGGATTCTGAGCTACTCCTGGAGAAGACACCTGATGGATATTGGAGAAAGGGTCTCAGAGGAGCTGGGTAGAAGGTGCTGCTGGAGGTCCTGGATACTAAGCTACTGCTGGAGAAGACAACTGATGGATGTTGGAGAAAGGCTCTCAGAGGAGCTGGGTAGAAGGTGCTGCTGGAGCTCCTGGATACTAAGCTACTGCTGGAGAAGACACCTGATGGATGTTGGAGAAAGGCTCTCAGAGGAGCTGGGTAGAAGGTGCTGCTGGAGCTCCTGGATACTAAGCTACTGCTGGAGAAGACACCTGATGGATGTTGGAGAAAGGGTCTCAGAGGAGCTTGGTAGAAGGTGCCCTGGAGGTCTCGGAAACTAAGCTACTGCTGGAGAAGACACCTGATGGATGTTGGAGAAAGGGTCTCAGAGGAGCTGGGTAGAAGGTGCTGCTGGAGCTCCTGGATACTAAGCTACTGCTGGAGAAGACACCTGATGGATGTTGGAGAAAGGGTCTCAGAGGAGCTTGGTAGAAGGTGCCCTGGAGGTCTCGGAAACTAAGCTACTGCTGGAGAAGACACCTGATGGATGTTGGAGAAAGGGTTTCAGAGGAGCTGGGTAGAAGGTGCTGCTGGAGGTCCTGGATACTGAGCTACTGCTGGAGAAGACACCTGATGGAGGAGCTGGTTAGAAGTTTCCGTATGGACATTATAAAATGGATTCATCGCCCATAGATCCGGGTATCATACAGAGGGAACAGAAGCCACTTTTTGAACTACAAGGACCATGATTGGGTCATAAATTGACCTGGCTGCCCTCTATCAGTATCTGTTTTTGGTGGTCCCTCTTATAGGACCTGATGCTGCTACTATTCAGACTATGTGTCCTCCATATTTGTAAATTGGGGTATCCCGCATCCATAAACCCTCTCTCCCGAGTTCTGTATTCAGTAATAAATTGTGAAAGGACCCCGAGATTCAAGTCTGGGAGTTGTTGGTGTTGCTGGATCTGGAGACAGGGCAAGTAACCCCAAAACAGGTAGAAGAACCCAAAATGACCAGCAGTTCGTGTTTTCAATGTAACTCATACTAGGCTGTGTGGCCAAAAAAAAAGTCACCGCCTGGATTTAGGAAAGCAAATGTCGTGAGACTTCCATTGGAAAATGACTGCCAACAAGTTATTTAAACCCTAAATGATGCAGTGAGGAGCTTCTCATGTCTTAATCCACCAAATCAGAAGACATTTCCTATGAACGTGGAAAAGATGGAACTCTTGTTTCAGAAGGATCAAATTATTGGCCGGCATCAAGAAAATAAAGCAACTGAGATCGCTGAAAATACTACGAAAATCGAGTTAAGATCTGTTCAACGCATTATTAAAACCTGGAAGGATAGAGGCCAACCATCATCTTCCAGGAAGGATAGTGGTGAACCTTCATCTTCTGGGAAGGATAGTGGTGAACCACCATCTTCTGGGAAGGAAAGAGGTCAACCGTCATCTTCCAGGAAGGATAGTGGTCAATCATCATCTTAAAGGAAGGATAGTGGTCAATCATCATCTTCCAGGAAGGATAGTGGTCAATCATCATCTTCCAGGAAGGATAGTGGTCAATCATCATCTTCCAGGAAGGATAGAGGTCAACCATCATCTTCCGGGAAGGATAGTGGTCAATCATCATCTTCCAGGAAGGATAGTGGTCAACCGTCATCTTCCAGGAAGGATAGTGGTCAACCGTCATCTTCCAGGAAGGATAGTGGTGAACAATCATCTTCCAGGAAGGATAGTGGTGAACAATCATCTTCCAGGAAGGATAGTGGTCTTCAGGGAAGGATAGTGGTGAACCATCATCTTCAGGGAAGGATAGTGGTGATCTGTCATCTTCCAGGAAGGATAGAGGTCAACCGTCATCTTCCAGGAAGGATAGTGGTCTGCAATCATCTTCCAGGAAGGATAGTGGTCTGCAATCATCTTCCAGGAAGGATAGTGGTCTGCAATCATCTTCCAGGAAGGATAGTGGTCTTCAAGGAAGGATAGTGGTGATCCGTCATCTTCTGGGAAGGATAGTGGTGAACCATCATCTTCTGGGAAGGATAGTGGTGATCCGTCATCTTCCAGGAAGGATAGAGGTCAACCGTCATCTTCCAGGAAGGATAGTGGTCAACCGTCATCTTCCAGGAAGGATAGTGGTGAACAATCATCTTCCAGGAAGGATAGTGGTCTACAATAATCTTCCAGGAAGGATAGTGGTCTTCAGGGAAGGATAGTGGTGAACCATCATCTTCAGGGAAGGATATTGGTGAACCGTCATCTTCAGGGAAGGATAGTGGTGATCCATCATCTTCCAGGAAGGATAGTGGTCAATCATCTTCCAGGAAGGATAGTGGTCAATCATCATCTTCCAGGAAGGATAGTAGTCAATCATCATCTTCCAGGAAGGATAGTGGTGAACAATCATCTTCCAGGAAGGATAGTGGTCTTCAGGGAAGGATAGTGGTGATCTGTCATCTTCAGGGAAGGATAGTGGTGATCCGTCATCTTCAGGGAAGGATAGTGGTGAACCGTCATCTTCCAGGAAGGATAGCGATGAACCATCATCTTCAGGGAAGGATAGTGGTCAATCATCATCTTCCAGGAAGGATAGTGGTGGACCGTCATCTTCCAGGAAGGATAGTGGTGATCCATCATCTTCAGGGAAGGATAGTGGTGAACCATCGTCTTCCAGGAAGGATAGTGGTGATCCGTCATCTTCCAGGAAGGATAGTGGTGATCCGTCATCTTC